GACAGGTGAAGAAGTTGATATTGATCATCACCATTGTCGCTGGCCAAGAGCTGTTCATCTGACTGGTTGAGGACATCCCCTGCCACTTCTTTTTGTTAGATATCACTAAAACCCATCGAAAAGCCACGCCTGCTTCACTTCAGCATCCTGCTTGGCAGGCTCCGGCTTGCTCGGCTCCGAAGTGCTCGGCTCCGGCTTGCTGGGTGCGTTCTCCTCCTGGCTCGGGCAAGCCAGTCATCGGGACAGTTCCTGGGCTATTGGAAAGCTTTTCAGGAATTCAGAGTTGATCAAGCGACTCGATCCTGCATGCTATGTATGTGTTTTGGTGGAAAGTTTGCACAGGTATTGTTGAGCACTTTCCAGCTACACAGTGACCGAAGAAGAAGAAGATACAGTGCCAAAGATTAACATCAAACACTCTTGGGCTTCCTCTCCAGACTTGGTCATGTGCCCACTTGATCTCATCTTTTTTCGCTGGGATCTCATTGGGGTTCCTGAAAATCACCAAATGGGCGGTTGACCAGCTTCTTCAAAGTGACCTTTTGAAGGTTCCTAAGTGACCCTTAGGAGGCTTAAGTGACCTCAAACCAGGTTATCAAAAGGTCACTTTGAAGAACCAGGGGCTCGATGATGTTCTTCTTCATGTCCATGCTTGCTGAGGGCTTCGGGTGCAAATTGTTCAGACACCCTTGCCTCTCCAGACATGATTCCATTGTAATTCCCTTAAAGTCGGTGAGATGAACCACAAAACAACATGGAAATAGCTTCACAAAAACCCACCAGTTGGGACCAAATTCCGAGTCAACGTTCTGAGTCAACTGATGCCGGAAGCGTCCTCAGATCCTTATCCAGCAGGTGCCAAACATTGCAGTGTCTCGCTATAGAGAAGGCTCAAAGGAAAGATAGAGCTTGGTATCCCAGCGATTGGTATTACAGGCAGCTGGTTGGTAAACCCAACAAGGTCCCAACGTTGCACAACATCTCCAAAAAGCGATGCACCCGATTTCGGATGCTGAACCGCTGCTTTTTCCGGTGTTTTTGCACCTCAAAATGGCCTCTGGTCATGTGGCTTCCCCGCTCCCCCAACCGTGCCTGGTGGACGACATCACCACCGGCCGCCTGGAGCGATCGACGATGGGCTCCAACCGACCGCGATCGACCGGTGGCAAAACCATGATGAAAGGAGTCCGAAACAACCTGGCACATGTGTCATCTCGTGTCTCATTGGATTGGCTCCTGGAGAGGGGAATGATATATGGTGTTCTTTTTATCGGTGCCACAGGGTCGCAAGGCTTGCAAGGGCTTTGAAAGAACGAAACGGCAACCCTCTTCGGCAAGACCTCCGATTCTCGGACCATCTTCAAGGGTTATTTATATAAATTGTATATAAATATACAGGCAAAGCTGCCTAAGATCCTGGAAGACAGCTGATGCATGCTATGATGATAGCTGTTTATACTGGACAATCTGACCAATTCTCCTGGTTCACTCAACTCCTTTCTCCAGACCGGTCAGATCGAACGCCAACTTTGGGACGTTTTGCGAGGTTTTGCACCAACTCGTTCTCCCGGGAGAGCTTGCGCTCCCCCTTTCGGCAGTTGGGATGAGTGTCGCACGCGGTGCCTGGTTGGGATGAGCCTTGGAGGTGTGGAGTCTTTCCCTGAAAACCTCTCTACGACTAGCAGCCGGGTTTGGGGAACTCCCCTCGAGTTCGGCTCCCGTCGTTGAGTGGAGAAGATGGATACGCCCCTTTCGGCTCTGACTCGGCACCAGCTCGACCATCTATCCAACAGGCTAAGAAGAAGGAATGGACCGAGATGCACTCTGTCGAAACACACCGTGCAGTAATTGTGGTAACCTTACATGGAATAAGCACCTCTCTCTCTCTCTATTCGATTGCTCCTTGAAATACATGGTAACGTTTATGTATCATCAGTCTCTGTCCCTCTCCCTCGAATCCTTAGCGGCTCTGGGCCAACTAGCACCGGATTGGCTTCGCTTCGCTGCAAGAGAACAGCTCTTCATCCCATGGAAGCCTCTGAGGGCTTCGCATTGCTTCGCGTCCCCCAAGCATCAGCCTAGCAGCCCCTTTGGGGCCCTGATGCTGTCTGAGACGAGAAGCACAGCCAAACGAACTTCGCAGTCAGAACCTAGTGTCGTTAAAAGAAAAAAACTCCTTCCAATCGGCTCAATGCCTATATAGGCATGTCAGAAGCACCTCAACTAAATCGGTTTCCCTCCCCCAGCCCTGTCTTTGGCTGATTGCCTAGCAGGGACCTTACCTCCATTGACCGAGCAGACTCATATTTGATACGACTAAACATAGTGTGAAAGTTCACACATGTTGACACCTTGAAGCTACTTTCCTTTTCTAGAAACAAGTGCCTTACTAGTAGTAACAATAAGAATGTAATTAGAATTGTAATTACTAGCAAAGGAATCTACTAGGACCTCCTAGTTTTCGGCCAGTGTGGAAGCTCCCACCTCTACCCACCTCCCACTCTTTTTCTCCTTCGCATGGTGTGTGCTTCTCGCCGTTGACTCCTCCCCATCAAATGCAAAAAGTCGTACCTGACGCAATGGTCAAATTCCCTTGCGTTGGTTTGCAACCACTCCTTTCACCACGTTCTCAACCCCCAAGTCCGGGTACCACCCAAGTCCGGGGGCCTCAACCTCAGTCCACCTCCTCATGGCATTTGCACCTTCCGAGTGGAGAACCAGGTACCAGGTAACCACTCCGTGTTCGTCCAAGAAAAAAACACATGCCCCGGGTATCCTGCATCCATCTGCATCCATCTGCATCCATCTGCATCCATGCGTCTCGTCTTGAGGGGCACCAGTTCTTTGGCGTCTCGTCTTTGGCCCTAAGCACTTCCTTCGAGGGTGTCCCTCTCTGAGTCCGTCCTCCCTCCTGAACGCCCGCGACCGGACCATCCTGGACCCGGGACCCGCGACGAGTGGAGCGGATGGTTTTGGTATGGTGGATGTTGGATGCAGCTGAATGGTGATGGTTCTTTGTTCTTCGTCTTTGCCAAGGGATCTCTCTCTATATATATATATATACGGGTCAATGGTAGCACTGTAGATGGCTTTCAAAGGCTGGACTGAAACGAAACAGCTTGCAGACCCACGTTCCAAACGGTTTACGGACTGCTTACGTACTTACGTGCCCGTGTGCCCATGAAACTTTACTAGCTTGGGTGCTCAGAGTTGTTGCCAAGCGGATTAAAAAACAAAAAGACACAGTGAGCTGCTCCATTGAACTTGATTTGGACATCTGCTGATTAGTTAGTGGCGGCCACGGGCCACGCTATATATAATAGATACGTACTATATACATATATGTGCACATGGATCCATGAGCTAGCTTGTCTAACTGACAGAGTGCAGTAAAACACGGCTGCACACACCAACACAGGTCAGACCCACACAAACACATACATACATACATTACATTACATTACATTACATTACATTACATTACATTACATTA